AAGCCCACCACGGATTTGGCCTCCGGGTTGAGAAAGTTCGTCAAGTGGTACGTGAGTTATTACGGGATTGAGACGAGGGTAAAAAGGGAAATGGATATTAACAAGAAAATCAGTCAGCAGACCGAAGAATCCGGTTGATTAAATCATCACCGTCAATCATCATCATCACTGATCACAAGGCCTTTCTTTCTCTCTTCCTCTTCTTAAATTTTTTGTTGAATTAAATTCTGTTTTTTTTTTTTTTGGTTCTTGTAAGTTATTGTTGTGTGGTCCTTGATGTACTGGATCCAAGCTGTTCTTGATGTATCATATAGATATATAAAAAAGAAAATGTCATATAGAAGAAGAAGATAAATGTTAGGAAAGAGAAACAGAGGGAAATGGGGAAGCAGAGAGAAGGTGGTGTAGATCTGGAAACCATGGGGGGAGGAAGGGGAGGTTGTAATAATTTATGGTGGGGTCTACTAGAAAGGATGTAGATCTCAGCCGTTGGATTGGTATAAAGAAATTTGTGATTGTAACAACAAACAATGACATCAAGAATCTTCTTTGCCTTTGCTTCCTTTGTTATTTGTTTATTACTTACTATATATTTCTTTCTTGGGTCATCACAAATAATTGGGTTTTGCTTTATTGGGTTGCAAGTGGAAGAAATCTTGATTAGTTATTGCTTTTCAAGATTGAAGATATATGCTTTGATGATCATCAATAATGAAAGGGCTACAATAGTTGTTTTAAGAGTGAATTTGGGCCATGATTTCATGTGTAAAAAAGAAGAAACAAGTGGGAAAGTAAAGATTTCTAATTACCAAAAGGGATTTTGGGACATCTGAATTCAATTTGTGAAAGGTGCATAACTACTACAAAAGGCTTTTAAAAAAAGAAATTAAGACTGCTTCTTTTTTTTTTTAAACGTCGAAAAAAAATTAAACTTTTTTTATTTGAAGTAAAATTAAATTTTACAAAGGAAATTCACATTAGATTCCTAAGTTCGAAAATTAAACGAAATTTTAGAAGTGCATGTCGATAGAAGAAAAGTGTCGGTGAGGGCTCAAAATAAAAGAAAACTCAGCCACACAAGTTTTATGCTTATCTCAATTTAGTTGGCCTACATAGCTACTTTATTTTGATTATCAAATTTGTCTATTTTTGGCATAAGAAGTTACTGGAAATGAACCCTCAATGCATACCATCATATACAGCTCGGAGTTTTTTTTTTTTTTTTTTTTCTAATTGAACCCTCAATGCAATTTTTTTTTTTAATCTCACCCCATCCACAAGGCAGCATCACAATAATTGAGTTGATTTGAATACCGACCTGTAAAGTATTTATCTTTTTCTTTTTGCTTTTGATACAGAATGTATAGTTGTTATGGCTTCCGGAGAAAGTTTTGGGGTTAAAAACTAATTTGCAAGTCTCTTTTGGACTGCTGAGTAATATTATCTAGGTAAAAAAAAATTTGCAAGTCTCTTTTGGACTGCTGAGTAATATTATCTAGAGATGATAGTCAAGTATATTGTCCATTTTAACGTTAGAGTCATGCATATGATTGCAGAGCAGAAGTTGGGAAAAAAAAAAAAAAAAAAAAAAAGTAACATTTGATAATCTTTGTGCAGCACAAACAACAGCTTTTCCTGCACATAAGGCCCGATTGTCATTTGACCGTGTACTACAGCAGTACTTTTTTGTTCCCTCTTTTGTTTTGTCTTTTCGGATTTTTCTAGGGTTTACAGTATCGGCATTCAAATCACTATACAATCGTGAAAGTGTTGATTTAACGATAATAATCATGTTTGTATTAACGTTTTAATCGTTAGATCACGAATTTAACTACTACAACTGTGAGTATGTCGATCTAATGACTATAACTATATTTGTATTACGATTGTAATTCGTTAGATCGACGCGTTCCCATTAGTAATCACAATTCATTAAACTGTATACGCATTCGTAACATGAGTCAATAAGTGGTAAGCCCCCAAATATTAGAACCTCTACTTGTATCATCTTCTTCTTTACAATAATAACATGAGTCAATAAGTGGTAAGCCCCCAAATCTTAAAGCCTCTACTTGTATCATCTTCTTCTTTACAATAATAACATGAGTCAATGAGTGGTAAGCCCCCAAATCGGCACTTAAATAAATTTCAATTACCTTTGACATTTGCCTAGCGTTTGAAGCTTGGGACACTCCTAATTACATCCATATTTCAAGATCTCCAATTGGAGGCATGAGATGAATTGTAGGCTAGGGCAAAGAAGGATGACCAAGTAAACGGGAACCGCATAAATGGACCTGTGAGTGATCCAAGGCGATAAGTCCACGACACACAACCTATTTGATAATTAGGATGACTTTTAATTAACCATCTAATAAATGGAACCAGCTTAGAACCTCTCAAGATTTGCGATGCCAAATCTTAATTATAAATTAAGTAATTTGACTTTTGCAGTCAAGAGAATTTAGATTCCGAAGCATTAGTATATGGATCCTATGAATAAGATGATCCAATCTTGAATATTCTATACCACGTTATATCTATATATATATATATATATATAATATATTTGATCACTAGTCAATTATACCTTATTTTGATTTTCCATTTTGAAGGCTAATCTGTTCTTTTCCCCCCCACATTTAGTGGAACTTAATTATATTAGAATATCAAAATGACGACTATCATCCCCAAATTTGAAAAGCGACATAATTTGATTTTCTATGAAAATGGGGTTATATATATATATATATATATATATATATTTTTGTCAAACGATGGAAGGGATTTATTAAAGTCGAATTGTAATGTTTACATCAGCAGCAAGAGTGTCAAACAACCACTCAGGCCAAAGTTGATCCCATTTGAATTCCCCACCCACACGAGATACATGCGCTGCTACCAAATAAGCAGCTGCATTGCACCTACAGTTCACAAAAGTAAAAGAAATCTGACCCACCTGAGAAGCCAGTAACTTAATATTATGAATAATGCCATCAATAGCAGTATCCGTCTTCATGTTACCATGTAACATCGCAACAAGCTGTTTAGAGTCCGTCTCCACCATCATCTTAGTAACCCTCGCCTCCAAACCTGCTGCCACCGCCTTTCGTAACAATATGAAAATGGGGTTATAGAATAAAGCAGCTCTACTAACAAGGTCTAGCTCAATGGAAAACGATCTTGATTTTCGCAGGTTAATGGTCTTAAGTTCGAACTCCTATGACACTTTGTCAGTGTATGTAAGAAACCATCATCTCCTTATAGTTTAAACTATCACTTATATTAAATAATAAATAAAAAAGCAGATGTGATCCGACCAAAGAAAATTAAAATAGAAAAAAAAAAAGCTGTGGAAATGTAACGTATTATTTCAAAAATACCTTTCACCGCTTAGAGTGTGCTGCATTAATTAACTCCTCACTCTAGAGTTTAATCTTGTACAAACGAGTATTTATTTATTTATTTTTCCCAAAAGTAGGATAGATATCCTACAATCCTTATGCATTCACCTAAGGATGTTGATGTTAAATTTTGTTACCTTCGTTACCCTAACAATTTTGTCAAATTTAACTTTTATTGAGATTATGCTACAAGTAAAAACGTAATTGCAAAAAAACATGAATGACATCGTATCTAGTCATTTTTGAAAAATGTTCGAAGTTTGAATCTTCTCTCTTTCGTGATTAAAACAAACTCAATAAGTTTGTTTTCTTTTGCCTACCGTATCTCTTCCGTGCTACATACTTGTCCTATGTAGTTTTCTTTTGCCTATCGTATCTTGCAAAGGGCTTGTAACTAACCATAACCTACGGGAGGGAGTGAAAAAGAAAAACCATAAGGGAGAAATTAGAAAACCTCACAAATGCAAGCATGGTAAAATTGTTTACTGCCATTATGTTTGTTTCTCTTTTTCTTTAATAAGGGTAAAATTGGTAAAACTGCGAAATAAAATGTATATTTTTTGAAAGGTTGACAAAGACTATTTTATTAAATAATTGATGCATTTCCTAAAACACAAATATTATTTAAAAGGCCAAAATTGTGTGATCCACTCCGATTTTAAGCCCGCAAGTTGTGCAGGAATCCATGGAACCATGCCATATGTGAATAATAATAATATCTCCCAGTTCGTGTCATCATTAATTTATGCTCATTTTTTCTCATTCTAAATAAACTCTAATTTTTCAACTAATATATGCCCAAGAAGTCTTATGTTTTTTTTGTCAATATATATATATATATATGAAGTCTAATGTTTAATATATTCTGATCTGAATTTGATTTAATGAAAAGTTGAAGTTGAAATTCCAAACTAAATAAATAAAGGTTGAAGAAATGGTCGGTGGCATAAAATATTTCATTTCATTTGAAGGGTACTTACATCCTTGGCTGTTGAGCTTAATGTCAACACAACCACCATCTTTTCCTCATTCCTTTCATTATTTTTTTGTCCAAAGCCATTGCAATGATTTGTTTGAGGAAGAAAAGAAAGCACAGAACTTTCAAATTAAAAAAAATATATTGGTGCAAGGATTTCCATCATTTTCAAGAATGCCATGAATGGTGCTGCTGCGGCTGCTGGAGGAGGAATTTCCATTGATGAGAGGATGAGCTATAACAAACATGTTGACATGACCTCCCCAGTAAAGCATTGCCTTAATGATTTGGTAATTAGGGTTTTGGATTTAAATGACCAATAAGAGAGCTTGAATTAGTCAAGTTTGTTGATTAAAAAAAACAGGGAGACTGAACCAATAAGAAGTCTTTCAATTATTTTCAGTGTTAAAAGAACTTCCATTTAAAAGAAAGGTTTGTTCTCACTGCTTTTCTACCTAATTTTGGCACTTTTAACTTCTTTGAATAGAATGGAATGGAAATTTTTTATTTTTTATTATTTATTTTTTCTAAACTTCCATTCTAAGCAATATTTCATTAAAATTACTAATAAAAGCATGATTAAGTTAGAATAGTGCGGGCATATCATGATCGTGAGCTAGCTTGTTTTTGGTTTATGCTTTCTTACCTATAATGCCTTTACTAGTATGCTTCATTTCAAAGTCAGAATATGTTTCAGATGCCTAAACATTTTCGATGCCTGCCATTGAACAAGGTTGAGGACGTTGATCAAAGGAAGCACCCATGTGCTTCTTGAGACACCCAATATTAGAGTTCTCACCCAAGTGTCTATGGACTCCATGGAAATTCAATATTACATCGCCATAAAAAGTTAGTAAAATTTATGTTTCTTACAACTGCAAGTGCACTTGCATAACGTCCGTTTGGATAGAATGGTAAGGAAAATACATGAAATCTAAGACTTTATATAGGGATTATTATAGATATGTCACTTGAACTTATATCTCTGTTTCAATTTGTCACCTTCAAGAAAAATTTAAGAGAAATTCATCTTAATTTTTCAAAATCCATGATTTGTCATTTGACTTTAAACACATCCAATTTTCCATCCATTTTAAATGGTATTTTAGTCTTTTCATTTTCAAGGGAAAAAAAAGAGAGAAAAAAGAGACATATCTCTCACTTTCTCCCCCATCTGCCCTAAAAAACACATCACAAAGGACCCCCTCCCAAAATCCGATCCATTGAGCATGTCTGAAATGTTCAAATACCTAATTTAAAACTACTTAAGCTTCCCACCCAAAATCCGACCCATTTCTTGTCTTCATATTTTCATTAACTTACGCCACTATGTTTGTGTTGAAGGATCTAAAGTTTGCTTGGTCATCCATCTTTTGCATAAGCTATCGAGTTGTTGGTTTGGTAGTTGTCTTTCCACAAATTTTCAATATGCAAATGAAAAAAAAACCAAACTGAAAAATGAAGAAGAAAAAGGTGGACTAGGTTTGGGTGGGTTGAGGGAATTTGTGTGTGGAGGGTAGGTGTTCCATGGTAATTAAAGAGAGTAGGAGGAAGTGGAAGAGGGACGGGGGAATGAGGAAAGGGCCGTGAAGAGGGAATGAGAGATGGATTTCAAGGTGGGTAGGGTTGGTTGTAGCCGTCAGTGGCGAACAAGGGATGGGGGAATGTGAGAAATTTTTTTTTTTCTTCAATTTTAATTGTTTAAAAGATATAGATTTTTTTATATAATGATATTTTCATTTTTAAATACGCTTAAAAATGGAAAGACTAAAATACCTTTAAAAATGGATGAAAAATTGGATGGCGTTAAATTCAAATGACAAATTATGGATTTTAAAATACTAAGGTGATATTTCTCTTAAATTTTTTCTTAAGCTGACAAGTTGAAACTGATGTATAAGTTCAAGTGACATTTCTAGCATTTGAAAAAATTAGATACAATATATATCTTAAATAAATTTAGAATAACCATATGAAAAGAATTATTTCGTATATATTTCTTCTTTTCTTTTTGTCATTCACATATACATGTGTGTGTATGTGTGTGTATGTGTGTGCACAGTTGGCAAAGATGATTGAGGAGCAACTTAATAGACTTATGAGGAGAAATAACAAAATCCATCCCCTGCAAGTTTGGGCCTCGAGCTTTTATTTGGGGTCCATAACTAGCCATTTTGAAGAAAACGAATAGAGGAGTCAAACTTACCACTTTGCCGTGACATATGAATTTATGCCAAATAACAAAGTTTGCTAGGTTAAATTAATGTTTTAAGTTTCAAGGGCAATTAGTATTCTTAGTGATTCTAGGGTTTGAGGCAGTATTAATATCAACTTTAAGATATTATGGTTGTTACCCTTATTTTTATAATATAAAAAAGTTTGAGGTTTCTCTCAACTTTTTGGGTGCTCCAAGTTTTCTTATTATAAAGCTATCGTTTGATTGTCTTCCATTATTACGTTTACTAGCAGACTCAGAAATTTTTCAGGTGAGGGGCAATGAGTCTATGAACCCATCTACATTAGTCGACAGGGATGAGAGAAACTTTGAATAAATAAACGTGAAATTTGCATATATAAAAAAATTAGATTATAATTTAAGAAACTAAAAAAGGACATATGCCAAATAAGGGGGATTAAAGTTCATGGTATTTATTAAATAGAGATACACCATTAAGGGAATTTTGGGAGACAACAAGTTTATGTGAAGCATAAATCAAATTGAATATTATAAAGTCTCTTTCAGACATTTAATCGAACACATAGTGAGCACTAGCAGAGGGGAAAATTCCAACCACTCCAAAGGATTTTCCGGCAAGGGGAGATGTAGCTGCACCTCCTTGCTCATGTGTAGGTCCGCCAGTGATTATGTTGCATCACACACAGTGTGTGATGACCAGGCAAGGCACCAGCAGTGGGGGGGTAGTCGCCCGATGAGCTTTTTTTTGTTATTTTTAATCAATTTTATGATAAGGTAGCGTATTTTGAGTGTAGAATATGCTATGCAAAGATCGTCTGGTCATCCATATGTATAAATTAAATGGATAGTCCATCATGAGGATCTTAATTGCTATCATAACCGTCGAATTGTTTGATACATATGGATGTCTAAACAATCTCCAATTAGATCGATTGTATGCAAAGATGATCTTTAAATGATGATTTATGAAATGAACTATTCTGATTATGACATTTGTATGATAACGATCATCACTAAACACCGCAATGGGTGAAGAAGGAGGTGTACCCTCCAAGGCTAGAAGTGACTTATTAAGTTTGTTATTACGTGTGATGTATGCTATTCACAGTTTATAGCCTAACAAGAGACTTGTCCTAAGTAAAACCATTATCATCAAACAAAATACAAACCACCAATTAATTATCTTCAAACCTCTCATAAAACAAAATGAATGCCAGCCGCATTAGAGCAAAGTGAATTAACATGGGATGCGTCATTATGTTTGGACAAAATCATGCACAGATTAGCATGTAATAACATAAAAAGGCAAACAAAAAAAACAAAGAGGAAAGAGAAAGGAGCTTTGTTTGTTTCCATGGAAATAACTGCATAATTTTGTGAGATAATGACCCAGCAACCAACCACCATGTTCATCGTTCACACACCCACGAATTGCATATGGACAGACCCCACATCAGCAAAATGGCTTTTTCTTTACCTTTTGTAAGCAGTGTCTTATTATTTGACCAATTTCAGAAATTAATATTCACCGACACTAAAGAAGACAAAATAGTCTCTTCTCTTCGGTTTATTTGGACGTGTATTATTTAACAAAACAAAATTACCCTCTAAGCTGCATCAACAAATGTCTTTCTGCATTTGGAATTCAAGCTTGAAAAAGGCCAGGTTCTTTTATCAAAGTTTTACAAGGGCCAAAATTCTGGACAAAGAGGAAGGCTTTGGTAGGCTCAACATTTGTGGTGGGGCTGCGGCCGTGCAAATCTTACTAATTATCTTATGGTAAAAATGAGAAAAACATGGTTATTTTATCTCGTAAAAGTACTTTTTTTATTAGTGGATTTTGTTTTGGGAGTTTCACTAAAACACCCAAAATGGGAGTTGAAATTATAAAAAAACCCAAGCACTATTTAAACATATAAACACACCTAAAACCCATCATTACACACACTCAAAACTCATTTATAAACACACCCAAAAAGTTGACTTTTGGGTTGATTTTGGGTGTGTTTCTATATTTAAATAGTGCTTGGGTTTTTTTATAAATACATGTCTAGGATTGAGTTTATTTATAAATTTGTATGTTGTTTTTTACTTTTTTTTTTCGTCAACTGAAAATCTATTTGTAAGGGAAATTTGTGGTAGAATTGGGTTGTTTTGAATGAGTATTTCGAATTATTTTTATTCATAACTAACACACAGGCATTGAAATTATTCTAATTTTCAGTTTCTCATATGTTAATAAACATGTAAGGAATTAAAAATTATGTAAGTTGCACACCGAAATCCGTAATCCAATATCTGAAAAACTCAAATATCGGATTGATTAGGGAGAGTTGTTCACTTCATTACTTCTCCTGTTCTAGATAAGTAAATATGTTTCCCTAAAAATAAATAAATATAAAAAAATGAAAAAAGATAAGTAAACATGTTTAGAGAATTCCACAATTCCACATTAGGCTCATCCAAACATAAAATTCATTTTCCAAAAGAAAGCCAAGGGCCCAATAGGAACAAGAGAGGCCCAATATACAAGAAAACAAACTCCCACCCAGGCATACAAATAAAAAAAGAAAAATTAACAATTTTTCTTAAATGTAAGATCCAATTTCAAAGTCCTCTTAGCCACGCTCAGTTTATAGTTCATCAGACTTCAAAACATGTGATCGAATTGCGCATGGCTCTCCTGTGAAATCAAATGCTTATTTCACCGGAGCCTGCTCCAAGAAAGAGCTTGTCAAATTTGGATTTGTTATGTGCTGCTGTGCTAATTTTACGAAACATAGCCAGCTTTATATGTTTCTAAATTGGACGGCCCAGTCTTGAACATTACGATGTGTGAAGGAAACCTAGACGGAGAGACATGTTAGATGATGGGTTGGAGCATTCTAATCTTTGCCACCAACCCTCATTATCCTCAAAGTGATCCAACAGAAACGGAATTTAGATAATCGAGGTCTCCAAGCCATAGTTCATGCATGGTTACGGTCATATACTCATAGCTGAAGATCATGGGAAAACCTCATCCCTACTCATTTGGGGAGATCAAAGCCCCTAACTCGATAAATCACAATATATTTGATCGCAAACACCACAATTTATGATGAAGAAACAGTCAGCAGATGGAAACCCAGAACACTCCAACGGTTGACAAAGCGTCTAAACAGCAAACAAATACAAGCATGGTTAGTTGGAACGCGAGTTACTCAGTAGAAGCATTACTAAAATCATTCACAATCATTCAGCAATGATGCTAGATAACATGCAAATGAAAAGCTTTACTGTCAAACTTCTGCAACTGACTTGCATAGCTAGATATAACCAGCACATCTACAATGCCAGAATTAATCTAATAAATCCAAGTAACAAAAACAAACCCAATTCTAGAGAAATCACGATAGAAAAGTCTATAGACAGCACTTGTGGCAACAGCTTAAAGGCCACTTTCTTTTCCTACCAAACACCCGCTTAATAGCCACTCGGTCCACTGAAACCACCATCCCCGCGGTAACCGCCACCACCACCACCATTATATGGTCGAGGACCAGTTCTCTCAGTGGCAATGCTGACGCGAATGTTTCGCCCATGCAACTCCTGAAATTCATTATGTCCAGTCACAAGATCATTATAAGACAAGATTAACAGCTCTCAGAGGGGAGCTATCACTCACAACTGCAGTGTTTAAAGACTTTAAACAAGTTTTGAATATAACTTCCACCATATGGGACCTTGAATTCTGGATAATTCAAATTTAGGCAATTCCATAACCTCTCAAAAATAGAATTCAAATTCTGACCTGACCATCCATGGCATTAAGTGCTGAACTAGCAGATTCATCACTGGCAAAGTCAACAAATCCAAACCCCCTAGACTTTCCAGTATTCCTATCCATAATAACCCTTGCTGCACACAAAAAATCAACTGTTAATACCAGTACATAGAAAACGGACCAACAACAGACCCTACAGACATCATCTCATTAAGCTTACAAACTCCCAAGGAAATTTCTTATGATAATAACATTACTGAGGAAGGAGAAAGTAAATACATAAGGCAATATCAGCATCTTGATGCAATAAATTATTTTATTCAGCATTGGAATGCCAGTTCAAATTGCTCAATGTCACTGTGAAGTAAAAAAAGAAGCAGAAAACTCCAACTCTTTTTAGTTTTTTCTAAAACAAACACAAGATCCTGCATGCAAAAGAAAATAAAGACAACTAGAAAAAGAAGTGGACCCAAGGATCCCAATAGATTTCTCCTACAGAGATGCAATAGAAAAAAACTAGATTAAGAGGCTAGAGACAACCCAAATAGCAGAAAGATACAAGGTGACAAAGTTATTGAACTACAAAAACTTACAAAATAAATACATTACTCAATACAAGTAAACCCAAAGTTTAAAACCATTTGAGAATTTGAGGCTGTTCCCTAGATACAGAGAAAGCATCAGATGGAGATCATTAACAGATGCCTAATTAAAGGCTGAGCAGAAGCAGTAATAATAGCAACAATTGAAAACCAAGATTTTTGGTCTTGGTTACCAAATTTTCATTTCGCCTAACTCCATACTGTGAAGTATATTATATAGCACATGATGCAGTATGCAAGTACCTAAACAAAGTTTTGATACGATGAAGAAATTGCAGGTATATGTACTTTATGGCAAGAAGTTAAGCTTTTCAGCAAGCCTACAATAAAAAAACACCACATTTAAAACTTACCCTCAGTCACATCACCAAAGCTAGAGAATGCTTCTTTAAGAGACTCGTCACTAGTTCCAAATGAAAGGCCTAACAAACCACAATTTAGAAACAAAATGTCAAATATAAATCTACAGGATCTCTAATTAGTCATCTTAGACACAGATTGTCCAATAATATACCTCCAATAAAAAGCTTGGAGGACATGCAGCGCGCAGCATTAAGCATAGATGCCATGGGTGTTTGTCCATTCTGGGAAATGCTATGCCTCAAGAGGCTCCCGACTTTGTTACAGAAAGCCATTTCCAAAGTTCACTGTTCTCAGGTGTTCCAAGAGCCTGCACCAGCAACAATTCTCACCATCACAACAAAAACAACAGCAGCAACAAAAAGAACACGAATAGATTGCTAGATACTACAAGAGTTACTCAAAATGAACATATATATTCCAAAGCAAATATGCAAAAAATCGTTAGAAACCACTTCCAATAAAAAACAACTTGCTCTATACTACAGACAACATATTTAAAATAAATCAATGTCACTACACAAAAGTAATTTTCATTATTTCAATTCAAACAACACAACCAGTAGCAGGAAGACTTCGAGTGTATTGACAAGAAACAAGTCATCAAAGATTGAAATTACTTTCTCCACTACAAAGCACCAAATTTAAAAATAAAAAAAATAAAAAAATACTCTTTGGTAAACAAAAGTTTATTTACAGAACCGAAAAGAAATTTGGCAAAAATATTTGACGACACTGGGTATATTTCTTTAATAAGTACATGCCAGAGACTCTGAATCTCCCACCAAGAATATGAAGAGTCTTGCACCTCCTAATACACCCCAAACAAAAACTATTTGGGTCAGACAATCTCAGTATTTTATTCCATAGAATACTGAGGAAATTAAAACAGTCTTGTTCCCCCACTGCTTCGCACACCTGACTGCTTTGATCTACTTTCTAAAATGCGAACGGATAGAAAACGCTCTCTTTAACATTTCTTCTAGTCTATTTATTCTGAAAACCTACATTCTCTCTCTGTTACTACCATTTTCCTCAAGCTGATCGGTAGCTAAACAAATAACATAAAATACCCAAAAACACGGAGTCATACATCTTCCTACTTATAGAAAAACATCAAAAACCCATGATACACATATATTTACATTCCCAGAAGAACAACAAATAAGAAAAATCAGTAACAAAACAGGTCAAATAAAACATGGAAACTGATACAATCTGATAACATGCATTCAGAGAGAGAGAGAGAGAGAGAGAGAGATAGAAAGAGAGGTAGGGTTTAGGAAAGGGGTTCACCTCAGAGAGAAATGAGGATGAAGAAGAAGCGGAGCGGCTAGGGTTTAAGCCGAAAATCAAAAAGCAGTGAGGTTGTGACTGAATCACTATCTTGTGGGTTTTATAGGGTAGGGCTTAAGGGGAAGATTGGTTCACCTGCGGGTGTTATTTCCGCATATGCTTTTATCATTTTTCAGATGAGTTACGGAAATGCCCCCCCTAAAATTTTGTATCTCATTTTCGTATTTTTTTTAATTATATATTGTGTAAATGGTGGGCCAAAGTCCAAATTAACTCTTTGATAGCCCGGATTCTTTTTGAACTATTTTTCGCATCAAATAGACTTCAGAAATACACCCAAAGCTAATTTACAACATAATAAAGAGGCTTCAAACTTCACATAAATTATAAAAATGCCATCGATTTCTTAAAATAAGCCCAATTCCAAACCTCATAAAAAAAACCAAAAACACTCAATAGGGTATCAAAGTAATTTAATAATCAAAATTAAATTTAATACGGCTATTTGTCATTTTTTAGGTTTTTTTTTTGGTTTGTTTGTAGAAAGTAAATGGTATATGATTTATCTACATCACTAGTGCTAAGAATGGGTATATTTCGTGTTCTTAACTTAAGAAAAAGAATTCATTCAAAGAATCAAAGACATACAAAGAGTGATATGATATAGTGGCCTTGTTAAAATCTTCCTAGGATAACCTTATGGGACAAATCCCAAGGGAGGAAAGAGTACCACACATGTCATGGACTAACAAGAGAGTCCAATTCATGTCACTTTGGACCATTACAATAAAAGAACAAATAAAAAACGAAAACTAACACAAAGACCTCCGACGATAATCAAAACACAATAGACCCACATGCGAAGATTGTAGAAATCCCAAATAGTAAACCCACAGGAGAGGACCGCAGAACATCCCAACTGTCAAAACAAGCCTTCTATGAGCAAAATCATAGTCCTTTGACACCCACACAAACTGCAAGTCATACCATAGAAGAAACCATGAAAGAACACGGAGGAGGAACACATAAACAACAATAAAATGACCCTTGAGAAGCACTCTACTTCAACTCAGAACCTGACAAAGAAAACCTCATATGACCAAGCATAGTTCTTCGGTTGGCCCAAAGTAGAGAAGAGAACCACATCCTAACAACTACCAACAACGTCGCTACTGCCACCGCCGTTGAAATAGAGACAAAATATCAACTATTAGGTATCACAACTCTCCTGAGGAGAGACACAATCCAGTGTCCCTACTGTCCCCACCGCCTAGACAAAGACAACACTAGTCATCTAGAAAGTTGCAAAAACAACCAAACAAAACAAACATATAAACATACCTACATCCAAACAGATCTAGACTATCTGGGGAGTGGAAATGGAGGGGGAGAGGGGATAAGAGGAAGGGAAAAGATGGGAGAAAAAAAAAAGGGAGATGAGGAGAGGAAGGGGAAGATGGGCGAAGGGGAGGCGGGGCAATGGCCACATCCCCCCCTTAGCTTTCTTGTGGCTGGTTGTCGATAAGGAGAAAGAGGACCAGGGTGCGACTAGAGTTTTTTGCCTTTCATGTTCTTAACTTAATGGAAGATGGAACTTAATAGTACTCCCATATTAAAGATGCGACTATACGAGAAAACATTAGACCTAGTCTCACTCCTAACCTGACCCTATAGGCCTCGTTTGATGGCTTGGCCTAAACTAAATTTCAATTGAGTTTAAGTCAATTCTTAAGAGTATCACCCCACTATACTGGACTTATATGACAAGTATGTTAAACTATAATCCAATTTAATAAGTTTAGCTTTAGCATTTATACCTTCATTAAATAGCAGCCACAACATTAGTCAAACCACTAGAGGCCCTTCATTAAATAGCAGCCACAACATTAGTCAAACCACTAGACTAGGCGCTTAATCCCCTTTTGCAAACACTAAACTACTGATACTAGAAGAATGTGACTCAAGCATATGGCAACCATACTCTGGACCCGGGGGTCGGTGGAAACCCCGTGCCCGGTGCATTAGAAATTAAAATAAAATAAAAAGAAGCCGAAACATGAGTTTAAAATAAACTTCTCTTATAAAAATATATCCAAATCTTACAACTTTACAATAAATAAATAAAGCTCTATCACTCTCATCTAATTCAACCTCAACTAATTTAGTCATTGTCTTACCCACTAATTTATCTGAAAAATTAAACAGGGTGAAGGATGAGCACTGACTGCTTTGTGAGTAGATTATGTAATATGACAGTCAAGCAATGTCGTTTTACACACTCTAGAAAATATCATGAAAAGATACATCAATACAGATCATATCACATCATCCCTTCATATCTCGGTTATCCTTCATAACATGTAACCAACCACGTGACCCCTATTGGTCTCACTGCCATATGTCCCCGTGTGGTACATCTATCCCTCAGATACCCCAACATTGAAGTTCTCATATTCCATGAATAATACATACTTCACAAATATTTCCAATCAATATATATAGTGTGAATGATTGCACCAAATAAGACATGCTTGACTTGAAATAGAGAGATATTTGTAAATAGAACAAATCCACGATAATTCATGAATTTCATATTTTATCACAAAATAAGAACTTTTAGAACACATTACATAAAACCACTCACCTCGATAATGAGAGCCCTTAAAATAAATTGGCAAGACAACCCATCTACCTATCTTCATGTACTATCACCAAACCAAGCTCCAAGAGTTTCATCACCACTCTCTCTCATTCTTTCTAATTTCTTATGTTTTGAAACTATAAGGTTATGCTCCTATTTATAGTGTTTATAGGGATATGATAAACTTCAATATTAAAAGGATAAGAACATCCAAGTTTATCTAAAAGATAAATATCATAACAAGATAAGATCATCCAAGTTTATCCAAAAGATAAATATCTTAAAAAGATAATATTGTCCAAGTTTATTTAAAAGATAAATATCTTCTTTTATCTGTTTAAAATACGAGTCTTCACAATCTATCCTCCTCAAATGAAATTTCGTCCTCGAAATTTATAGCATCTTACCCAAGACAATTTACTCCTAAAAATCTTTGTCACTACATGAATTCAAGTTTATCTAACATAAATGTTAAACCACAGTGTTCCCAAGGGCATCTAATTCCTGGGCTCTGATACCATTCTGTCACGCCCTAGACCCGGGGTTGGTGGAAACCCAATGCCCGGTGCGTGAGAAAGTAAAATTAAAAATTAAAAAAAAGCTGAAACATGAGTTAAAAATAAACTTCTCTTATTAAAATAGATCCAAAATCTTACAACTTTACAATAAATAAAGCTCTATCACTTTCATCTAATTCAGCCTCAACTGATTTAGTCATTGTCTTGCCCACTAATTCATATGAAAAATTAAACAGGGTGAGGGATGAGCACCCACTACTCAATGAGTAGATTATGTAATATGCCAGTCAAGTAATGCCGTTTTACACACTCTTGAAAATATCTTGAAAAGATACACCAATCCAAATCATAACACATCATCCCTTCATATCTCAGTTATCGTTCGTAGCATGTAACCAACCACGTGACCCCTATTGGTCTCACTGCCATATGTCCCCGTGTGGTACATCTATCCCTCTGATACCCCAACATTGAAGTTCTTATGTTCCATGAATAATACATACTTCACAAATATTCCAATCAATATATATAGTGTGAACGGTTGCACCAAATAAGACATGCTTGACTTGAAATAGAGAGATATTTGTAAATAGAACAAATCCACAATAATTCATGATTTTCATATTTTATCACAAAATAAGAACTTTAAGAACACATTACATAAACCACTCACCTCGATAATGAGAGCCCTTAAAATAAATTGGCAAGACAAAGCATCTACCCATCTTCATGTACTATCACCCAAACCAAGCTCCAAGAGTTTCATCACCATTCTCTTTCCTTCTTTCTAATTTCTCATGTTTTAAAACTATAAGGTTATGCTCCTATTTATAGTGTTTATAGAGATAGGATAAACTTCAATATTAAAAGGATAAGAACATTCAAGTTTATCCAAAAGATAAATATCCTAACAAGATAAGATCATCCAAGTTTATCCAAAAGATAAATATCTTAAAAAGATAATATTGTCCAAGTTTGTCCAAAAGATAAATATATTCTTTTATCCGTTTAAAATACGGGTATTCACAAACCCATATCCAAATTGAGTCCAATTCAAGCAAGTTGGGCTAAATAAAATCCTTCATTCATAAAACCTTATGTAGCCCTCACCGCACTTAAGACAAAAGAAGGGGTGAGAACACCAATCTATGAGCTATTTGAAAACAATTTAGACTTGTTGAGGCCCAAAAAATTCAGGGTTGGGCCCAAAAAAAATTTCGGCCCAGTGTGATACCTTATTAAGAAAAGACCCGGTTTGGAGCATGCGAAATTCGTCATGCACGCTTGCACGAGCCACGACCACGTGCCACGCCAAATAAATATGTAATCCATCACGCTAAGAATTAAAATGAACCTATAAAATGCACTGGCTCTACAAGCCCATGCTAATTATTCCGTCAAGCATCATGTCTCTTTTCAAAGACGATAAAATTCAAGCACGCTAAGCGACATGCAATGCCAAGTAGAAAATCATTATTATTACACTTAGCTACGCTACAAGCTTAAGTGGGCCCAAGCCACGCAAAATGCCCCGGGCTTGCTGAATGGGTTATGGTATGGATGATAACGAGCTTTCATGAGGCCCATTGATGAGCCGAGAAATGGAAGTTTTGGGTTGCTTGGGAGCTCCAAAACTCAAGCTCATTTCTTGAGTCCAAATATGTGGGTAAGCATAAAGGAGAGAAATAGCCCAATACTTTAGGAAAAATTAGCCCATCATCTCAATAAAATAGCCTATCAGTTTAGGAAATTAGCCCATTCCCTTAGCGGGTTAACCCATCACCCTAGGAAGGCTCAAGCAACCAAGCAAAATATCTTCAATCTCCATCACTTAGCTGGAGACAAAAGCCAAAGTTGCCCATGTATGTGAACTGCTGGGAGGCTCCAATACGTGGCAAAACAAACCTCAAGGAAAATCGCTCAAAAAATCAGAGGATATTGGCGCACACAGGAGAAAAGGCAGCCTTCAGACCAACCAAAGTTGCCTATCTCTTTCCTTTACCAGATCTTGCCATGAAATAGGGGAGGAAAGAAGGAGAGATGATAGCCAAAGATAAGAAATCACCACTGGAATGGTTGCGGGAAGACTTCTGAATTCCCAAAAATATGTTATCTATGTATTGGGCAGAGTAGGATTTCACAAAATGGGATGGGTTGAAGGGAGAGAAGAGAAATGAAAGGGGAGACTTAGCAAAATTGGAGAGAACCCATTAGGGTTTCTTGGGAAGGATGAGCTTCCAGCGGCTATGAAAGGAGGTACCTCCTACCATTAAACTCAACCAGAGCAGTCGAGCAAGCTTATTCTTTAATTGCTGGAAACATCAAGCCCAAGTGCCTCACCTTCTATCTCATTCTTCTTTATCCTAAGCAATACACATCTAGAGAGCAAGCTTCATCTCTCATCCCAGAAACCTCTGCAATTTTGAGCCCCAATTCCTCCATCTCTTCCATTTTCTCTTCTGGTAAATCGTTCCAGAGCTTGACAGAGCCACCGTCAAGCTGCCAGAAACTACTCAACACACCCATTATTCCCCCATCTCCCTCTTTCTTCAAAAAACCCTCTTAGAATCCTTTCCCTTTTTCCTTAGAACCCTTGTTTCTCATAGGCTCATGACTACTTTGCTTCCATGCCACAAGCTTCTCATGCCAACTAAGAATCTATCTGTAAGCGACTGTTGGTTTTGCTAGTAAAGGTAACCAAGGTGCTTCCTAAGGCTCAGCTACCCTTTCGAAGCGTTCTTTGATTCTTAAACTCAAACCCATGGGCAATTTTCACACATTTGGCTATTTACAGCAGCCCAAGCCAGCAGTAGTTGCTGGACCAAAAAAGCCCCCACAAGACTCATTAGCCATTTTAATACAAATCCCATACTTCTTCTGCCTGCAAATCTGAGCCTTTTCCAAGATCGGCAGCAAATCGTTTCAGCCATTCAGTCTCATTATTTCTACGTACTCCAGCATCTCTAATTTGACCTTCCTCCTAATTACTTTATTTGTACAATTAAATTGATTTGAGTGAGTTATATATATAATATGGTTGGTACATTACCAAGACTAAGAAAAATATGTTATATATTTCATGTATGATAATATTTTGTTTTAGAAAATGGTTTTCAAAATACTAATGCCTAAGGCATATTCATTATTTATGTCATTTTCACATCTCAGTACCCCAGATAAATTTCATTATTTTTTTTTTATGAAATTATTTTCCAATCAAGCATCATACACATTCTCCAATCTTGAATACAAATTTGTTTTCTCATTTTTTGTTGTTGAAATATTTTACGAAAATGGTTTTAAAAAAACATTGACAGACCCTTATTTGTACACAACAAAATCAACCTAAACAAAATACTAAATCAAACAAAACACTAAACAAAAGAGTAGAACCTCAATAGCAGAATACATGAATTACATGTTTAATCAATAATTATTCAGATCACAACAAAATCAACATAATCGAGCTCAAAACCAACACAAAACCAATTCCTAATCAATCTCTAAAAACGAAAGCTCAATCAAAGAATACTAAGGGTTGTACGTAACTTACTAACTAGTATTCTAGTAATATTTCTCTCAATGGATGGAATCATAAATTTAGTTTTAGGGAGCCATAATTTTAAAATAAATTGTATGTGGACTTAGATCTACAAAGAAAAGCCCCAAAAAAATTATATTGATACATTGTTTTCTGGTCAATGACACATATTTCATACTTCATGAACCAAAAGAATATGCATTAACCTACATCAAGTCCAAATGAATCTTAAGAGAAATCAAGCGAAAAAAAACAGGAAAAATCTTCAAGAGGCGGTTGGAAGAAAAAGGGAGATTCTCCAATAAGTATTTTATGTTACGGATTGGTTATATATTTCTAATCTTGGGCATGAAATTGCATTCATTAATGTGTTGGTAGTCTCTTAGATGCAATCTAACGGCTGATATTAGAAGTATGTAACCAACCTTTAACTTAAATATTTATTGGAAAATCTCCCGGAAGAAAATATAATCCCAATTTATAATTACCAATGAGAGATATCAAAAAACAGAGAAATTACATGACTCCAAATTCAATTCCTTTCTTATAAACCAAACTATCACTCACTCTTATGTTGAGATAACATTTTAGGACATTGTTTCACTCTTTATGGAGCTCACCTGAGCTCATCCCACATGCATGTCTTCACAATGATTGGGGGCATCTACCTCTTCATTTGGCAACATCTTCTTTTTAGTATATTATCTTCTCTAAATGCCATTTCAATTCATTCCTTATCTGGTAACTCAATTACTTTACTCCTCCAGCTCACATGATGACCTTAGTACCTTATCTCTTAAATCATAAACAGAGATTCGAATTTCCATACACACCTATATCCAAATTCTTACCATTCCAACTCATTCAATTTCTTCTTTTACACATCCAATTTAAACAAGTTCATGATAAAAATAAAAAGTGTTACAGTCAATTGCGCCCGAGTGCATTTTGACCGTAGATGCATGTGGTTAGAATTTGCTCATGCAATCACACACGAATGAACTTAACAAAATTCCATTGAAAACTACTAGTCCTATGTTTATCTATGATTAGGATTTGCTCATGCGGTTACACACAACTGACCGTAACAAAATCAGCTTAAGGGCTACTGGGTGGGTACTGTTCCTTAAAGAGCAAAACCCTATTCCCACAAAGGCATATACCAAGTGCTTAAGCAAGTGAAAAGTCACTTGGCAAGCAAAATCTTTTGGCTTCAAAGCATGGGATTGCCCATTTGCCCATGCAGGCAAGACTGGCAAGGCATATCAAATTTGGTTGGCGTGTGCTTCATGGAAGCACTTCTTTTGCAGCAATGGACGGTAAATTATCATCTGGTGTAGGAGGGGAGTGATGGGGTGACACGTGTATGGACAGATAGAGGTGTGATAGGTTAGGGTGGTGCCACGTGGAGATCAGCAGCAGTAAACTACTGAGAGAGAGAGAGAGAGAGAGAGAGAGAGAGAGAGAGAGAGGAAGGTGAGGGAACCAACCGCATGTGCTTGCTGCTTAGGCAAAAATACCCAAATAACTTCTCACACTAAAACTCCTCCTTTTTGTAGCCGCGGTTTTGCTCTCCATACCCGTGTCCATAGCGCGTGCTGCGTTCACACCACACCACCATGACAAATATTCTCTACATAAAAGGTGAGAATATTTCATTAATGATTTGAATTAGCTTTTTAGAGGGTTGATAAGTTAAAAAAAGAATTAGATTAGAGGACTATTTAGACTTCACTTAGACCCCTGAGGAAATGAAGACAATATTAGACCTTAGGTTTAGCTTGTTTGTGTTAGGCTTATTAGGTTATACTTCAAAATTTACTTGTCAAAAGTATCATGTATATATACATAGGAAGAATAATTTTTAATTGATTTTTGTGTGTGTATTTCATCTTATATTTAATTGAAAAATAGATTCCCATATTTAGTCTCACTCTCCACATTATGTAAGGGAGGGAGTAATTGACGATTGTCGTTGCCTAAGTATTTTTTCGTTATAGGATAGTTCGAGTTCAACTTAAGCTCGAATTATTTGAACTTAATTCATAATACTTACAGTAATAATGAATACTTTTAACCTCTTGAGTTACAATAATTTTATTTCTTCACTACATATTTATATTTCTAATATGTATGCATATAATTTATATTATTGTTTATCATAATTTGGAGTGCAAATTTGAGTTTTTAATTCAAGGTTGGTTATATAAGTGTTGAAATTGTGCCACAAACAAAGCTAAACCAAAAAAAATTCAAGTTTGGAAAGAGGCATCCAACTTATGTACAACTCATGAAATCTTGGACTTGATTTAAGCTGGACAAATTAAATAAATCAATTCAAACTTGAGCACCTTAATACACAGCTTGGCTTGGCTTTGACTCTATTTCCAAAAACTAGTCTCCAATGCAAAAAATTTGGATCCAAACAATGCATAGAGAGCGTGGGACTTGGATTTGGATGGAGCTTCAAATATCAATTTTCTCTCTCTGGAAACCATGTGTTGTGTAGTGCCTCACCAATTTATTATATATGTGCTTGAACCTCCCTTTAGTGCCCCTTTCTTTCTCTCAATTCTCGCGTGTAACTTCCGAACGCAAATTAGCCTACTTGAGAGAGAGAAGAGAACACACAGAGAAGAAAATACAGAGAACCCCAAAACCACACAACAACAATAACAGAGAGAGAGAGAGAGAGGCTCAGACAGACTCAGACTCAGACACAGACAGAGAGACAGACACCACCATAAAAATACAACCACTAGAAGACTCGAGACTCTGAGAGAAACTAGAGCAAACACACAGAAGAAAACTGCTCTCTCATCTATCCCATTCTTCTTGTAAATCATTCATCTTTAGAGAGAAAGACAAAGAGAGAGATCTCCTTTGTCATTCTGCATTGCCCACTTCGTAGTGGACAAGGTAATCTCACCAGTTGTATCTCAAATACCCAGAATTTGGATTTCACAGATTTTCCCGTTAACGCTTTGAATCCGCTCTCTTTAGCCCTTTTGATCGATACCCTCTTTAAATTGGCTTCGACCCACGAAATAAAACTTAAAATTGTAAAGTGCTCGATTGTCCTTCTTTTTGTTGTTTTTTTGTTTTTTAAAATTTTGATTTTTTTCCCAGAATTTTTTGAGGAGTGGGATTAGGGTTTTTGATAGTGGGTATTTTGCTCAGAGCATGCTTTGTTTTGGTGGATATTTTAGGGTTTCGTTGGATCGCAACTGGGTACTCGTCCAATTCCGCTGTTTTGGACTAATTAGGGTTTGATCAGAGCACATTTGAGGAACTGGCAGATATTGGAATCATCGCAGCCTTTCATAGAATGAGCATAAGCTCCGATCTTTCCCCGGAACGGAATTGTGGATTTGCCAGAGCTGGGTTGAGTACATGAACTCTGAGATTGCATAGAATTATGGGAGTTATTGTTTTTCTGAGCATGGAAGAAGATTGCACATACTGAATTGGGTACATGAGTGATCAGAGACTTGTGGGATCATAATTTCGGAGCAAAAGGACTTCCGGGTTTTTGCTGTTTTTGCGTGCTTGATCTTCAGCTGGGAATGAATTTGGTTTTGGGTTACAAGGAGGAGCTGATGATTCTGTATTGGTCCAGAAGGCAACACAGAGGATTGGATTGTAGTGGACCGTTTTCGTTTCTCAAAAAACCGTTTGGCTTAACTTAGTTTGAACAAAGTTCTTGACAGAAGAGCTTTTGAAGTAGTTAGTTTATCTGGGTTTTGTTGGGTTTTAGTTCAGTTTTGTGTTGCAGTTGTTTCCACTGAGCTGGTGCTTTTTGCTGAGCCTTGGTTTTTCAAGTGAATTGTGTGTGTTATTGCTTTGCCTGCCTGCACTTCTGTGTGGAAACGATTAAGGATTGGTTCAAGTGCCTGTTGGAGTGACTGAGAAGCTCATGGAGGATTTTTGATGCTGGGAATGAATGCGGGGACATGGTGCATGGACAGGAGCATAGTTGCTGGTTCGTTCCCTTTCTGGAACAGTGCTACTGGAAACTAATTCAGGAGTTTTCTTCCTTGGAAGGCACTGGTGTTTTGTATTGTGGGATTTTGTGCAATGTCGCGCTGCTTTCCATTTCCTCCACCTGGATATGAAAAAAGGGCTAGGAAGGATGATGTGGACTTGCTAAAAAAGGTTAAAATACTTTCCTTATGATCATCAATATCTTTTAATTCGTATAGCATTCATTAGGGACATAATTTATCAAAAAGATAAAAAAGGAAAAATAGAAATAATCATTTATTAGGAGCGTGCGAATGGATATGATTGCTCCCTTCTGTTAACTAGTATGGTTTACTCATCTATATGGGACGTTAGAAGTTGTAAAATTTTTGCTTTCTCCACTTTCAGTGGATATTCTAGTTAAAGATGCGAAGTGTTTGTCTGGTGTGTCTAAAGATTGTTTATTTGATGCTGTAGTTTAGGAACAAATAAAATCCAAGAATCCAGGATGAAGACTTTAAGTAAAGATTTAGGTGGCCAGTGAAAATTATGGATAGATGAACTGGCTGGGAAAACTAGTGATTTTGTCCCGCTTTCTACTCAGGTACCTTTTGTCAGATGTTTTTCTTGCCGGTGTCTTGAAGTGACCAAATTATTCGATTAACAGCTACTTGTTCAGTTTGTTGCAATGTGAAAGTTAGGAGCTAGTTGGGGAATATAAATTTTTCCACTACTAAGCGACCATTAGGTTGATTTGTTTATACTATTCATGCTCACTGGTGCCATGTTGAATTAGCAATAGTTTACATTGCTCTCTAAGCTGGATCAGCACCGAGGGATTTTTCTTTTCTAGGGTCAGGACCATCAGATTACAACCATATCTGGATAATATGTTTAGAATCTTTGATACATAAACCTGGGTTGTACTGTGTAAGTGACTACTTATTACATAATGTGTTGGTATTGCTTAGTTTACGGGTTTAGTACCAATCACTCGCCACATGCATTCACATCATATTTGTCCAGTCCCCATTTTTATCATATAGGGCTGGATTAATGATGACGATGGAGCCAATACTTGTGACATTATTTGAGGCCTAGTCTAGCCCGAAATTGGTGCGTCATGTGCAAAAGAAACCTGGACGTATAGATCATCTATTCTTCTGTAGCACACTTACATTAAAGCTTTAGCACACAAACTGGCTTTGGAAGCTAATGTGGTTTTGATGATGTCCAAATTATGCATCTGTTTGTTGAGAAGCAATTTGTTTTTGGAGGAACACAAAAGGGCAAAAACCTTGTGGATTTTCTTTGTTAAAATATTTCTTTTATGGATATTTTTTGGATAGTGTGGGTGTAATAAATGAAAGGATTTTAAAAATTTAGGGGGAGAAATGGATTGATTGTGGGATAGGGTTTTGTTTTTGGGCTTCAATGGGCTCAAATTTCCTTGTATTTTCAGCAGAATACCTCTTGTCCTTATTCATTCGGGCTCTCTTTATCTAGCTTAGCTTTTTTGTAATTATTTTACTCAGGTTACTATTGGACGTTGTTTACTCTATGCTGTTGAATAGCTGGTTGGTTATGGGTCTTTTAGGCATTCCAGTGGACAGCTTGACCACTATATTTTGTACTTCTATGACATGTTAATAACATCTCTCTGTTTCTCATAAAAAAAAGAAGAAGAGAAACCAAAGTGAGAAAATAAGAAATTGAAAGAGGTGTTACAATAATGTTTTTCCCAAAAATCTCTAGGATATTTGACTTGGGCATTAGTGTGCGTTTTAATTCAGGCATGTGGTGTTAGCCATAATAACTTCCAAAGTAGAGAAACAAGGAAGTAGATAGATATTTGTGTATGGTTGATAATACACTAATGGGCTACAATTTTTAGTTTATTTTATTTGGGTTTGTATTATTAAGAAAGAAGACCAGTTTTGGCTTAAAACAGTGATGACAATAATTGTTTTGTAAGCACAATCTTTTGTTGCTGGACATTTGCATAATCTCTTAAAGTCTTAGCAGACACAAGAGGAGAATTGTTGTTGACCGAAGTTTAGAGTGCATATTGGCAATTCAACACTTGAATTATAGCAGACACAGAGGAAAACATTTAAGGTGCCAATCGGGTTTCTTTGAATTACTGCCTGTTTCTTGTTGCTCTTCCTGAGTTACGTGCTCTGAGCTTATCCTGTCAACTTAAGCTCTTTACAACTTTTCTAATATCAATTTCAGGATTAGTAATTAACATTGTGTATGGCCTTTGCTGGTGGCCATTACCATTGCTTTACGTAATTTACTTTTAAGCAAAATGTGGAATGCTATATTTATTTTTTCTTTTCTACTTTGTGATTTGGAGCTTTTATCATGAGGGTTAGTCTCCCTTTCTTTTCTGTTTCCCATTCCCTTTTGCTTGTCTTGATTTCTTTATACTCCTTTGTTTGTCCTCTGAATTCCACCCTCTTTCTTTCTTTTATTTATTTTGGTACTGTCTCTTAATCAAATTGTTGTTATCAAAGATATGGTCTATTAGCATCCGTATATAGTCTTTAAGTATAAGTTGTATCCCTGGTAAATTGCTCTAAATTCTCTACTTGTAATCATACCATGAATTATCGGCTATATTGCAGAAAAACATTTAACTGGTTAATGATCGTCACTTTTACTTAATATTCATAGAATCATAGGTGTTAGAAGCCTTACCAAATGCAGTGTCATTTTCCAACATATTTTGACCTAAAAAAAAAAAAAAACCAAAAAAGAAAAAAGAAAAAAGAAAAAAAAAAGACTAGAACTACTTATACAAATAGTACTGCACCAATTTCTTATTTTTTTTGTTTTAATATTCAAACAATTATTTTGGTATACATTTGACAATGATTGATTAGGATGGATATCTCCTAAAGATGGCAAAAAATGAGTCACATTTTTATTATAATTGCTAAATTGGATTTATGATGTAGATTTGGTGAGCGAGGACTAGTATGGATTGGACCTTAAAATATTTATGCGGTGGTTGTAGTTTGACTGGGGTGACCCGGGTGTCTTTGTGATTTCCTGGGACAAAGGATTCATATTTTACTTATGAGAAATTCTTATTGTAAGAACTTTTGTACAATTTTTGGTTTGTTTCTCTATAAGTGGAACAAAGAAGAGACCAGAAGATAAGACCAGCTTTGTTGTTGGGGAGATAAAAAATAGAGTAAAGGTACTTAAAAGTAAATAAGAAAAGGTGTAATATTCAATACAGTTATACTGATGTCCTTGGATATGACAATTGAATGTGATGTTTAGAATGATTGCCATTTAGCTATACAATTCTTCTTTCATGAATGTATTTTTCTTGCCTGTACAGGTTTCAAAGAAACTTTGGCTTCTAATTCCTCTTTTTGGTGCTAATGATCTATTTGTTCATGATGTTCGCCTTTCTAAATAAGATGCACCAATTCATTCTAACATGCAATGTGTCTTATAATTATCATTTTCTGGTCCTGGTTCAACTTTGCTGGGAATTGTTACTTAATTTTATAAGATTATGAACCTTGTTTTAGCACTTGCAATCAAAAGATATTACATTACTCACCAAGCGCCAACAAGCGTTTCATTTGCTATGATATATCTTTGGCTTGAAGCTTTCAGAATTGAGACAGTGATAGGAAGATCAAGAATGAGGTTTCAAAGAAGAGGCGATCTTTGACCGTTTTGAAGATGGAAATTTTAACATGGAAAGTTAGAAGGAAATGGTCCAAGGTTGCACCTTGGACATATATTCAGAGTTTTCTAGCTGCATTCCTTCAAACTAAGAGAGAATATGGAACCTATTGAAGAGGGGGCTTTTGAAGTTTAAAGGCCTATAGGAGCATCTAGTTTTTTGAGTTGCGAAGTCAGAATTTCTATATCTGAAGTTTTTGGTCATGAGTGCAAAGAGACAAAACACTATTAATGGTGGAATTTGGCATTTGATTAGCATGACGTTACAACCTCAATGTAGTGTGGGGGCAGGTGCTGAATTCTGATTAGCTCTGGCTTCTCGCATTAGAGGTGTTCCTATCAGTGTTTGATAATTTGATACTAATTTAATAGTTGCTTTCATGGGTTGAATGGCTTGGGAATATTTCACTCTCCATCTTTTTTAGAATATTTGGATCTCTTTAACTTCTTGTCATCTTTTTTTGGAGTTGACTTGGCATTATGGCATGCTACCTTGAATTTGGTTGTGACATGTTTATCTTTTCTAATGTGTTTTATCCAAGTTTACTTATAGTGGTATAAGGTAGAAAATATCTAGGTGTAATCCTCACTTTGAAATGCATACATTAAATTTAGGGTTAGAAAAAGGCATATTAACGTTGAAAATGCATTTGACAATGTAATTTAATGCCTTTGGATTGCTTGTTTTTATGCGGTAGGTATATTATGATGAGTGGGAGACTGGATGGTATGGATAATTGTTAACTGTGCTTCTGTCATTACCTTTTGGAGTATTAAGACACGGGTTTATCTTATTGTCATGCTCACCTTTGTTGTGGACGTTGCATAGGATGTTGTCTACGAAACAAATAAGTTCTATTTTGTTGTATTTCCTTCACCTTGCTGATGACGGCTTTATGATGATCTTCTTATGTTATTGAGTTGTGTTTGAAATGTTCTAATATTCTTTGTTGTTTGTTTTTCCTGATTTGCTTGTCATGAATCTTTGTTTTGGGGTGGATTGCGTTTGTAGTTTTATGTCCTATTTCTGCTCCTTCTTATACGCGAAATTATATTTTCTTAAATGTACTCTTATTGAAGGTTGGTGGTGTGATCCTAAAGTACTTGCTTTATACTTCCATACCTGTGAATTAATTATATTGCTTATAAAACAGGGTTGCTTTCTATTTGCCTCTTCCGTTACGTATAAAACAAGGTTTTTCAAGTGAATGATGGTTTGATTAGAGATTTCACTTTGGGTGTACAATTCACAGAATGTTGTATTTCTTCAGAAACTATGCATTTGATGGCTTCAAGTGTGCAAAAACTATGTGAAATGTGCAACGTGTTGCTGTATTTTGTCCTTTTCTGGTTTTTGGGAATTTTTTAAAGAGGACTGCACGGATTTTCATGGGTTTGGTGGTACTTTTGGAGCATGGAAAGATTATTAAATTGAATTCATTGGCCAAATACTTCAGAGACATCACTAGTAGTATAGGGTCTAATGACTGAAGGAATTCACTGAGATTTAGTTATGGTCATTTTTGTTTGCCATGTCTTGCAAGGCAGTTCTTATTGATATTAATCCGTATTGATCGCCTGAAACTTGTTTTTCAGTTTTAGTTCTTGTAAATAAACTTCCAACACAATTCTCCGAGTATATATTTTTTCTGTTTCTTGAGTATTTATGCATATGTTTTATTATTCTATACATTTTCATAAATTACAGGAGAAGCACAGAGAAAAGAAGCATAAGAAGGAAAAAAGGACAAAGAGAAGAGAGAAAGTAAAGAAAAAAGTGAGAAAGACAGAAGTGATGGAAAGCATCGGGAAAAGAAAGACAAGAAGGGAAAAAACAGAGACAAGAAGAAGGATAAGGAGAAAGACAGGGACCCCGTTAAAGATAAAATTAGTCCTTCAGATGAGAAGAGAAATCTGGGGAAAACTGAGAGTTTTGGTGCAGAGAAATTCATTCCTAAAGAGTACAAAGATAACTGTGTTGACAAGAGAAATACTGGGCAAGTTGGAGGTTATCAGGCCGAGAAGCTCAGTCAAAATCGTCATCTGGCTGAGGAGAACCACAATTCTGTATTGTTGGAGTTGGGTAGGAGAACTAAAGATGAGGCCAGAGGAATTGGTAACCATGTGGTTGAGAAGATTTCTGAATCAGACCGAAAGAAGGATGAGGGGATGGGGGATGGTCAGATTGGTGGCTAAGGATGCTGACATTTTGGCCGAAGTCAAGGAAAAGAACAAGGACAAGAGAGTTGATGACAGAAAGACGGATGGGCAAGGCATCAGGGTTGCAGCACAAATTAGTGGGAACACAATGGTTCAGAACCCTGTTGGTATGGTTGAAACTAAAGTTGAAGGGCTTTCCAGACCATTGGGGAGCAACGTGGATAGAAAGATTGATGGAAAAGAAAAGACCAAAGAGAAGGAAGGTGATGATAAACGAAGAGAGAAACGCAAGGAGAAAGATAGAGAGAAGAAAAAACAAGGGAAAGACAAGGATAAAGAAAAGAAAAAGGAAGCGAAAGCAAAGGAGAAAAATGAATCTAAGAATGCAGAGCCAGGTAAAGAGAAGAAAAAGGAAGAGAAAGCAAAGGAGAAAAATGAATCTAAGATCGCAGAGCTGGATAAAGAGAAGAAAAAGGAAGAGAAAGCAAAGGAGAAAAATGAATCTAAGATCGCAGAGCTGGATAAAGAGAAGAAAAAGGAAGAGAAAGCAAAGGAGAAAAATGAATCTAAGATCGCAGAGCTGGATAAAGAGAAGAAAAAGGAAGAGAAAGCAAAGGAGAAAAATGAATCTAAGAATGCAGAGCTGGATAAAGAGAAGAAAAAGGAAGAGAAAGCAAAGGAGAAAAATGAATCTAAGATCGCAGAGCTGGATAAAGAGAAGAAAAAGGAAGAGAAAGCAAAGGAGAAAAATGAATCTAAGAATGCAGAGCCAGGTAAAGAGAAGAAAAAGGAAGAGAAAGCAAAGGAGAAAAATGAATCTAAGATTGCAGAGCTGGATAAAGAGAAGAAAAAGGAAGAGAAAGCAAAGGAGAAAAATGAATCTAAGAATGCAGAGCCAGATAAAATAAGAAAGAGCAATAAAGAGGATCATATAGACCCTCATTACGTTATAACCTCCCAACTTCCGAAAGACAGCAACAAAAGTGCTGGTGCTGATGGAAATCTTAAGAAACGGAAGGACTTGCAGACAAATGGAGTTTTGCATGGTGAGTTCTTTTTCATGATGTAAAGTATCATCATTGCAGCCCAATCATGCTTTATAGTTGTCTAACACAAGTTGGCCCTTTTTCCTACAACTGAGGGAGGAGGTTGTAGGTATAGTTTTTGGACCTAATGTCAGATCCTGATCTCCACTGTTTCCTTTTGATTCAAAATAATAATGTTTTTCACTTTGGTATCCGTCAATTGGCAGTGATGTTGAATCAATTTTGTCAAGCAGATTCAAACTCTGGTCATTTATTCTTAGCTGACTAATGATGTTTCCTTTTCTGATGTTACAGCCAATGACATTAGGCCCAGTAAACTGCCGCGACCCTCTTCTTCCTCTCATCCATTAACGGTAAATGGAAGAACAGTGGAACCTTGCCAAACTTCCACCCCGTATGTTTCAGATAGGCTGGGATCAGCAAATAATGTTAAGGTGGACAATAAGGACTGCAAGATAAATGGCATCATTGAATCTCCGTCATTGTCCGTCTCCCCTGCAAGGCTGACGTCTACAGCTGCACAGGCTGTTCCTGTTGCCAAAGCATCTGTGAGACCGCCCCATCCAGATTCCAGATATCTAAGCCAGGTTTATTTGGTTCCAAAGGTGGACGAAGTGCCTGATTATGATGATGAAGATTGGTTGTTTGGGTGCAGTGGTAACCAATCAAAGAAGCCCAAGGTGGAATCTTCAGGGTTTGAGGAGACACCTGAGGTATGGTCAGAGGCTCTGCGGATAGAGTCTGCTGATGTTCACATTCTACCGTATGTCATTCCATATTGATTGACTCAAATGGGCATGCTTCACCGCTTCACCTCCTAACTCTGATGCGGGCAACCCTCGATAGGACCACACTAGACCAAAGCTAGAAAGGCATCTGGCCACCTTGGACATATATTCAGAGTTTTCTAGCTGCATTCATCTGTGATTGCACTCTGTTGCAGTGAGTACGACTAATGGTCTGCTTCTCAAACAGTCTTAAATGCAAAGGTTGCAAGGGTCACTCACACATTATGGCTTGCTCCAGGACCGGGCGGGCTATTTGGATTCAAGGGCTGGTTTTCCCCAACAGCTAATTCATTCAAAACGGAAATTTTCATAAGTGCGACCAAGTGAAGGGTTGCGTAGAAAGGGAGATAGATATATAAAAGCTTGTGCAATTTTTGTTTTCATTTACCTAGGAGCTGAGAAGCTCATTCTAATTGAGCATTTAAGAGAAACTAGCCACAATTTTGATTTGTAACATAGAACTCTTATTTACAAGAAATGTAAGATAGAAGAAAAGGGAAAGTAGTTGCATTCGTTCGTTGGCCTCCTTCCATAATTGTTCGTCGCACTGTGTTTCCAAAATTGCTGTCCTTTAATTTCCATTTTCCAAATCGGGAGCGCACTTTGGCTATGATACTCAAGTATCTTTTTTAAATTTCCTTTTACCCTTGAGACAATTGCGGATTACATTTTTTTTTTCCTCAAGTTTTTATTTTTGGATTATTAATAGTTACTGAGTTTTACTTGTAAGTCTCTTCCAAGATGCAAGAATTGAAATCGTTTAGATGACATATTTTGGCCAGGCAAAAACGACTCCCGTTGTGCTTTCTGAATCATATGAGAAAGGAACAAAACGTGTTTATTGTTATTTTTTTTGTGAAGAAATTTTAATAGGAATTTACAGAGAGACCATTAAAGAGAAAGATGTCCCAGTTGTGAAAGATTACTTTCATTTCAGTTGGAACTTTTTAAAACAACGAATCCCTAATTGCTGGTAGTTTTGCAGTGAAGCAAATGTAAGCTCTGCTCTACCTTTTTCCTTTCTTACTTACTGCATTGTATATCTTGGCTTTTCCAAATGGGATCAATAATTATTTTGGCTTAGTTTGTAGTTTCTCATTAGGTGAATACAATACTTATACTATAGATTTAGGACAAAGCCCTCCCAAGTTCTATAAGATCAAGTTTCGAAAGGGCGGGATAAAGATAATATTTCGGAAGAAGTTGGGGGACTATGACCCCTTGTATGTTCCTAATGTACATCATATCATAAGGGTTGTAAAATATATTCCACCATTCCACTCATGTCAATAAATTTTGAGTTAGATAGTCACATTCTAATAAATTTCAATTCAAACTTTTAATGATTTTTTATAGAGTTTAAAAGTCTCGAGGGATTCAATTTAGATTTTTAAAGTATTTATAAAAGTCTAGTGGTATTCAATTGTGATTTTAAAAAGTATTTAAAAGTTTGATGGTATCCAAAAACTATCTATAAGCTCTTGCATGATGTTTATACCTGTATGTTTTATTATATATAGTTGCAAAACAAATATGTGTTTATGGATACCACCATATGAAATTGATATGGATTGGATATAACCCCTACATGTCTAAGGGGGTGTATCCAATTCTAACTTTTAAAGACTTGTGTTGAGTTAAAAAGTATGGAGGTATTCAACTGTGACTTTTAAATAGTATTTAAAAGTTTAGTGGTATTCAATTATGACTTTTAAAAAGTAGTTAAAAGTATTTAAAAGTTTGGTGGTTTTTAAAAGTTTGATGGTATCCAAAAACTTAATGGCTTTTAAAAAAACTTATTAAATGAACGACTTTTACATACTTTTAAGGCTAATTGTTATAGCAATAGTCTTGTGAATTTACTAATGACTTTTATCAATTCTATTATTTAAGAATTCGTCAACTCTATGAAATTCACTCACTTAAAAAAAAGTCTTTATAAGTATGAATTGGATACATCCCTTAACATTAAGTGGGACATTTGGACAATTAGGGTGACTTGACTAATGAGATTGTGGACACTAAACTTCCAAAACTAGCTACAAATGAAATTCAAGAAGATACAAAGACCATATTGTTGTAAAATAAACAAATAATGTATAATATAAAGCTGCACATGAAATAAATGAGACCAGTGCGGAACTACACTATGGGCTGCAGCCCTCCAGCCTAGTGATGTTTGGGGGAAATCTGCTAGACTAACTGTGAAATTGGTTTTTAGATTGAAGACAAGCTAATCAAGTTAGGATATTGCATCACCGCTTCACAAAATTTAATTCAAAGTGATAGTTTATTCACATTGGTTAGTTTATTCAAAGTACTAGGCTATGATTATACTTGGCCATACCAACTCCCAATCATCGGATTTTAATAGTTCATATTGTGCCACATTTATCCCATTTAAGTTTCTCCTTAATATTAATTATTTAGAAAACCCAAGAGAAAATTTTGGATTTGGACAATGGAAAAAAAAAAGAAAAAAAAAACAAAGTTTATCATTTTTGGCATCTACTCAATACCTCCATATGAGTATCCATAAAAAAAAAATCCAAATTTTTATGAACTTGGTTGCAGAAGAACAATAAAAATACACTTTAAAATAAGTATACTTGGAATTCTATTATTGAATATATTTTCATTTTGATAATATGTGTTTTGTGATTGCATTTTTAATATGTATTTGTTTTATATTAAAGTTTATTGAAAATTTAAGTGGTTTATAAGATTTAAAGCATACTTTTATTTATAGAAAGACTATAGAAACCATAAGCAAAATAAAAATGATGATTAAATTTTAAGCTAATAACTGTAGATAGGTCACTTGCTAAGAAATTTATGGTTCCGCCCTTGAATGGGACATAATATTTAATGAGGTTCGGCAAGCCCACCTGTTAAGAAATTCCTAATTTCGCCATTGAATGAGACACAATATTTAACGAGGTTAGGCAAGTTGTGCATGCGTTCCCTAAGACCAGCAGCAGTAACTTTTTCCACCAAACTTTTAAATACTTCTAAAAAGTCAGAATTGAATACCTCTAAATTTTTATAAAATTGTTAATAATTTTGGGGTAAATACCTTTTTGGTCACTGAGAATTTTTTTTAGCTAAATTGGTCACTATGTTTCCAAAAGTTTACAATTTATAGACGTTTCGTAATCTTCCGTTAACTTCCATTAAGTGCAGTTTTTATTTTATATTTTCACAAAGCATGTTCAAGTCTTCTTCCTCTAACTCAAAGAGTTAGGTTATTGTGCTATAAGGGTTTTACAAATGGGGGGAAATCTTGGGTTGAAATCGAAATGATGAGGTATAAGGTCACACATTGGGTGTTATATTGAAGCATGAATCGATTGAGTGAGAGTCGTATTGTGACTTTAGATGAAAAGGAGACGTGTAATCAAGGTGATAGAGCACCAAAATATATTGGTAAGTTGTTGATTTCATTTTAATTTGGTTTTGCTTTTTTATTTTCCTTATACATCCCAATTTTGATTTAAACCTAAGATTTCCCTCAATTTGCTAAACTCTAATAGCATAATATACCATAACTAGTAAGTTAGAGGAAGAAGACTGAAGGTAATTCCTAAAAAAAAAAAATAATAAAAACATCATTCACGAAAGATAACATGATGTCTATAAATTGTAAACTTTGGGAAACAAAGTGACCAATTAGGCTAAATTTTTTTCTAAGTGACCAAATTGAATTTGTGTGTAAAACCCATTAATCAAAAAAGTATTTAACTCATAATTTTAAAAAGTCACAATTGAATACTATTAATATTTTATGAAATCGTTAAAAGTTTAAATTGGATAACTCCAAAATTTTAAATTCTAAAAAATCTTTAAAATTTTGAATTGGATACACCTGTTTAAACAATCACTAAAGTAGCTCACTATTTTGTCCATATTGAAGAATTTCTTTGGCTCTCTTTCTCTCTCTGGACTGGAAGCGTCGGTGGCTATTACAAGGGGAGGGGAAAGCCATATTTATAGGATAAGCTTTGGATGCCATCCGTGAAGGTGCAATCATCTCTTCCAACATGTGGGGGCATGTGGTCCATCCACACCCACTCATTCACAACACATATAAGAGCAAATCAAATATCAGAGGATCCAATTTTTCATCAAATTAGTTTGTGCCTGTTGTGTTAAAATATATATATTAGTCCATATTTATTTATGTCTCTCGAAATCATGTCAGATATAGGTTAATTACACATGTTGTATAGAAAAATAAAATTGATTGATGATGTTCAAACTTAAGTTAAAATGGTGAGGGAAAAGAGAGACTGATGATTAAATTGGAAAAATTGAAATTACGGTGATCAAAATTGTTTTTGTACCTAACTAAACTCTAGTAACTAAAAATGCTTTTTACCGTTTTGTTTTAATGTAACATTTGATTGTTTTTTCTTGAAATTGTTTGTAGTCTCATTATTCGTTGGTACCACCACCAGACAAATGCCAACAAATGCATGTGGTAATACAGTACCATGGTATAAAGTATATAGTAACAGCTGTCCAGGTGTCGTCTCATTATTCGTCCGTACCACCACCAGACAAATGCCATGGTGGTAATGCAGAACCACTTAATAAAGTAGATTGGAGGTATCTACTGATCAGTTGGTGAGAAATGCATGTGTCCACAAATATCAAAATGGTAGAGCCCAGCAAGACTTTTAAAGTCTCCTCCTGAGAGTTAAAGAAGCTCCTCTGCCTGTCTCTGCTTGCTATTGCTGTCTTGTATTGCAAATCTGCATTCATCATCTCCTTCTCCTTCTACCTACGAGAGAAGCTCTGTGCCTGTGCGTCTTCATCCATCTTCAGTCTCTTCTTCTCGTTTCTTAATTAATTAACTAGCATTAATATGATCTGCTGTTTGTCTTGCGCAGGGTTTACACAAGGAAACTAAGATGGTAGTAGAAACTCTGCTTACTTTCGCGACCGACGTAATACTGACGAAGCTGACTGACCGTGCTTTTGACCAAATCAGTGTTGCCTGGGGATACGAAGCTGAACTAGGGGAGCTCAATGAATCCTTATCCATCCTTCATGATTTCTTAGGAGATGCTGCTGAGAAGGCACAAGATGGTGGCAAGGCAGTGGAACGCTGGGTGAAGAAACTTAAAGACATAGCTGATGAGGCTGATGATGTCTTTGAAGAACTCAACTATGAACGTCTCCGGGGAGAAGTAGAACCGCATAACGGTATGGGAAAACAGATTCTCAACTTATTTTCTCCACAAAATGAAAATATGGCACATAGAATTAAAAAAATCAACGCTTCTATGGAGGAGCTCAAGAAGGATGCAGCTTTCGTCGGATTAATTGCAATTGCAAAGAAAAAAGATGCAACCCCTCAAAGAATTAGAGAGGACCGAGAGACCAACGCATTCATTGGTAAAGATGAAATCATCATTGGAAGGAAGGACGCTGTGTCAGACATAGTTACAACATTGACTAACTCCAACATGAATCAAGAAAATCTGTCGGTCATGGCGATTGCGGGAATGCCAGGACTGGGAAAGACAACTTTGGCAAAGTCAGTGTACAATGAGGGTGCTATCGATGTGTATTTCAACAAAAAATTGTGGGTGTGTGTATCAGACACTTTCAACGTCAATTCAATTTTAGCTGCAATGTTAGGAAAGGTAGCCCCGACTCAGCAAGCATTGCTTACAGACCTCCGAGAAGAGTTGAAAGAGAAAAAATACTTGCTGGTACTTGATGATGTTTGGAATGAAGAGTCTGAGAAATGGGAAAGGTTGATGAGCTGTTTGTCAAAGTTGAATTCTGCTCCAGGAAGCAAAATTATTGTCACTACCCGCAGTGGCATAGTTGCATCACTCACAGAAACACTTCCGCGGCCTAAATTGGACCTTCTATCAACAGATGAATGCTGGTCCATATTGAAACATGCAGCTTGCTCAGATGGTAGTTTAGAGGGAATTGGACGGGAGATTGCTAAAAAGTGTGAAGGTCTACCATTGATGGCACAGGTACACGTACTATATATTATACACAAGCATTGCTTACATCAAGCATTTTTATTTAGGCTTTAGATTATTGGATGATTTTTGGGAATTTAGGGATCATATCATGAATGAGTTATTTTGAATTGCATTAATGAATTTTCATGTAGAAAGAAATAACAAGGTCTGAAGGAAGAGAAAGAAGATTGTCGATTTCTCTTTTTGTTTCATGTCATCATGTCATGCCCATTTTCCACAATCTCTTTCTTCATAATCACTTTATTAAATAGAAATTAACAAAGATGCTTCATAAGACATTTGCACTAGTACCCTACCAGGGATATCTCCAACCTTTAATTAATCTCTCAAATTCACGAAAATATTGCTCATTGGCGTGGTGATTCGCTAAACACCTTGCTTCTAGTAATTAATTTTAATTTACCTAGCAAATATAAAATTAGAGGTTAAAAATGTTTTTCATCATTGGGTTTTGTATGAAATTTCAAAATGGTTACTCAGAAAAAAGAAAAAGAAAAATTGTAGCCAATTTTGTCACTGTGATTTACAAATTTACAATTTATAGATATTCTATCAATTTGCTATTAAAAGATATTAAACTATTAAAAAATCATCTGTCGGTCAACAACAATACAAGAGATTCTAAAACAAGTATAAAAAAGTGCTAAAAATAATAAATGAAAAAAATCCAAATCCCATCGAAACACCTTCTTTTTTTAGATTATTGTACAACAAAACATTCAATCTCGCATCCAATTTTTCATTTTTAATTTTTTTTTTAATGCATAGGCTACCTATATTATATACAATAAAATTTTCATATGCGTTTACGGCCCGGGGACTATTAACAAAAGGGATTTAAGAAGGATTTTATTTTACTTTTTGTCTCAGAAAATAAGGGATTTAAAAGGGAGAATCTGTTCGGTGCTAAACATAAGGGGGTTATGGCATGGGATTGTTATTAAAATCATTATTAATGGATAATTTTGCCGTTCAATTCAAATTTTGGGTTTTAGTTAGAAGTATGTGGGTGTTTGTCTAGACTATTTTAGTTGCAAGGCGCTATATCTGAATGACTCTTCTTTAAATAGCTGATTATTTTATCTACTAATTATTTGATAGTAATTCTCTAATC